GTTCTGTTTTTAAATAAATAATGAAAAAAAAAAATCAATGAAGAATGCGAAAATTTAACAATAATATAATCTAGTGTGTATTTTGCGTTCCCAATTGTTTCCTTTGGGAACGCAAATTGGAGTAGATAGGTTTGCCTATATCCAGTTCAAACTCCTCCCTGGTCTTTTGAACAGGGGTAGAAGTTTATTCTTTTTTCCCTGTTTAGGATTGGCTTTCTGGTTCCTTGTAGTTTTTTCCTTCTCTTTCCCTCCCAATAGTACCTTGCTTGTTACTGTTATTAACACCTTGCTTGAGGTGATCTAATAAAAAAATATATCATTTCCAGATTTGAAATAAATAAGCAGCTGATTAAGTACATGAACAACTTAATCACCCACAAATTAACTTTCCTCTCAAGATTGTTTTAGCAAGATGGCTGCCTTATCCATTGACAGTCTTGACAGACTAAGGTTAGTGAAAATTTCTTATGGTGATTTTCTAAGTGTAGCTTAGATGTGGCACAAGGTCGAATGTATGGAGCACCCAGTCATAATTAATCAAGCAAGATAAGCCTGCTAATCATTATGCCATGTTGAAGTACCCAAACAATGATTTTCTGAGCGTAGCTTAGATGTGGTACAAGGTTGAAAGTGTGGAGCACCCAGTGAGGACTGAACTCACTACTCTACGCCTAATTGTTCTAGTGAGACAAGCTAGCTAACCATTACACCACATCAAAGTGCCGAATGTAAAAAATTTCCTATGAGTGGTATGTAAATATTTTCTTATACAAATGGCATAAAGAAACAGATTGGATGAGAGAAAAAAATATCTTTTTAAAAATTTGGTGAAAAAAGAACATGACTGCAGTAATCATCGTCATTTAGGTCTGAAGAAAAATTTGTTTTGCAATTCATCTGTGGATCCAGATTAATGTCCAAAACATTTCTGTACAGGAATAACTTAGAGTTGGAAAATCATTACAATGAGATAATCCACTCTGTCAGCCTGGAGAGTCTTTATCCAGCAGCATTAAAATTTGTTACAGTGAGAGATAATCCTACTATATCAGCCTGGATAGACTTTATCTGGAAGCATAAAAGTTGATTACAGTGAGAGATAATCCCACTCTGTCAGCCTGGAGAGTTTTTATCTGGCAGCATTAAAATCCGTTACAGTGAGAGATAATCTTACTATGTCAGCCTGGAGAGTCTTTATCCGGCAGCTTTAAAATTTGTTACAGTGAGAGATAATCCCATTCTGTCACCTGGGGAGTCATTATCCGACAGCTTTAAAATTTGTTACAGTGAGCAATAATCCCACTCTGTCAGCCTGGAGAGTTTTTATCTAGCAGCATGAAAATTGATTACAGATAGAGATAATCCACTCTGTCAGCTTGGAGAGTCTTTATCCAGCAGCATTAAAATTTATTACAGTGAGAGATAGTCCCACTAAATCAGTCTGGAGAGTCTTTATCTGGCAGCATTAAAATTCATTACAACTGGAGACTTCCAGACTGCAGATGATGATCAGGATTTCTATATGTCATGTTCAGGATCTAAAGCACTTCATTGCTCTTGCTGATATCACCTTGATGCCCATTGGATTGATACGAGATCTCATCAACCCACTCCATTGGGAAACAGTCTTCACATGCTAACAGAAATGACAGACACCATATCATTGAGGATTTCAATCCATCAACTACCTTTACTTGGTTTGCCCACCAGTTGAAGCAGTTTTTGTGGATGCTGTTGCATATAAACAGCTATTTGAAGTGTCAGGTGAGAGTTGCACAACCAATTTAGACAAACTACTCCCAAAGAATTATATAACTCTTCCTCCAAGAAAGGTTTACACCCCCCACACACACACCAAACACTTTTTTTACACAAGAGCAAACAGATTATCATCAAATATACTACTATTATAATAAATATATTTACATGATAAATAATAGAAAGTAATCAATAAATAATAATAATAAAAATATATATATATAATAAATAATATAAAATAAGTACTAAATATATATGAAACCATTTTTTTAAATTACTGTTGATGTTAAAACTGGCAATGTTAAGCAATTGAAAATAAATAGTAAAAATACACAAAGCAAAATAAATGTTAGGATTCAAAACACCCCTCTTACAAATTCAAAGATACTTCACTTCCTTAAAAAAACATTATATTAGGTTGAAGTAAGGCACTTATTTATATCTATCTACAAAAATAAGCTTAGATGTTGCACAAAAAGTATGGGGCACCCAATGAGGATCGAATTCACTATTTAGTCATAACTTATCTAGGAAGACAACCTTGCTAACCATTATACCAGTGTGTGAAATGCTCTCTACAAGTGCCCTCAAATAGTAAGAGTTTACAGTCATAAGGCATCTTTCAAAAATCATCTTAAAGAAAATGATCTTATTTAATGTTACTCATTGGAATTTTGGTATCTGTCTATATTTCTGAGATGAGGTATTATGTACATTATTTACATTATTCGGACTATCGTTGTCATCTTTGTCGCCATGTTTATCACAGGACCCAAAAAAGTGTGAGTTCAATACCTGGTTAAGGCAGTGGAGAACTTTCAGAGGGGAATTAACAGGAGATAACTGACATCCATTAGACATGGCACATGAAACTAGAACAGTCTACCCCAATGAGTAAAATAAAGGGTTCAGTTCGACATTCCAAACACCTGAAGAAGGCTGGAGTGTACAACGGCCGAAATGTTGTGATAAACATGACAACAAAGGTGAGGACAATAGCCCGAATAATGTAAATAGTGTCATTGGAATTTACTATTATTCTTGTCTTCTACTGAAACCTTGTACTCATTAGAAATGAATTAATGTACATAGTCTGTCTATATTTCTGAGATTATGTATTGTGACTATTTGCACTATTTACATCATTCAGAAAATTGTCCTCATCTTTATCACCATATTCACAATGTTTTGGCTGTTGTACACTCCTGCCTTCTTTAGGTGATATATGTTGTAATTTTGAACTGAACCCTTTATTTAGTCTATGAGAGTAGATTGTGCTAGTTCCACATGCCATGCCATTTCTGAATATCTCAGTTTCATCAATTCCCTTTAGTAACTCAGTCCTCCAAGTTTTTTGTTCCCACTGCTGTGGCCAGGTATTGAACTCACAATAAAGATGAGGACAATCATCTTAATGATGTTTCTGTAGCATAACTATAGACAATAATGAGTATGTCCCCATTCACATAAATACAGTAGTAAATACTGTATGTTGGTCTGCAATTGGAGATTCATTGTAGAATTCACTTGACTCACTTCTAGCAGTTGACTATTTCTTCGAAGCACAGCTGGCGAATTTTATGTGTGTTGTTCTTGTCCTAAGTATTATCGTTCATTACCAACCTTTGTGTGATTCTTCTATTCAGTAACTTTCCCTAGGTTACAACAGATGTAAATAGAGTAACTAGTACACAGTCTGTGTATTGTTTTCCTTTATGTATGGTAATATCAAATTTCTTTCAGGGACCTTTTTATGCTAACTCAGACTTTTAAATACATAACATTGAAGTTTTAAAGACTAAATACTTAAAAAAAAATTCATGTAACCAATAAAGAAGATATAAAAAAGCCTTTACCAATGGAATTAGTTAAAATTCTAATTATATTAGCAGCAACTGTGAAAATTTCATGGTGTTGCTATTTAAATTTTCTAATGAATCATAATTCCTAAGTTAATAACTCAGTCTTGGGTATGACGATAAACTACATCCAGTAGCAAAGGCCTCTGATTGAAAGATTTTGAGGAGTATGGAACCACCTCATAATTGCTGTTGTTTACAGGTCCACCCTGATCTGGGGTGGTAGCACCTGTTAGGGTCTCTGCTATGGGCAAATAGTTAACCCATAGACTGGGGTCAAAACACTATGAAAGTATAAAAATACATTTTTATAGTAAAAATACCAGCAATATATTATAATTGTTTTTTGATTACATGCAATAAATTTTGAAAAAAAATAATTACCAAGAATACATCTTTTGTAAAAAGATGTTACTAATATTCTCAAGAAAATTAAATTTCAGCATTAAATGACCCATAAAGAGTTGATAAGCAGTTAAACAAACAATAAGTTAATAACGGAATAAGCTCCTTGTGAGTTCTATGACTATAAAATACTTGTGGAAATTCCCCAATTACATCATTAAATATTCAAGCTTAACAATAACCAAATTATAAAATAACAATCATAAGTGTGAATGAAAGTCATTATTTAAAGAAGTAAGAGAGTACAAATGAAAAGTTTAAAAACTGACAATGCATTCCATTTCACTGAAGCAGACATTACATTCACAAGAGCATTGTAGCCTGTTCTATCGTTTTATCACTGAAACCAAACATCTCTGATATCTCTTTTTCTTCCATCTTGCAATAAAAAAGGAATGGTCCATTATTTAACTTGGGTAATGGCAGGACATAAAACATGTGCTAACTAATGGAGCAGAATTAGAATGATTCCTTTTTCATTCCATTAATAAAGGCATGAATCAATTCTTAATGCTTTTATTCACATATCTTCATTTTTAATGTTTTGCAATTGATATGTGTATAACTTAATCTTTACTGCACAAATCTATAGACATTTTTAATGAAAAAAATGTGTAATTATACTTTTAGAAATATTACTGTAAACAACTTCAATACTGCTATATAATATAATATCAAATATTTCAGATTGATGGATTGATTGTTTGTTTGTTTGTTTTTTTATGGGTTATCAACCTTTTGCGGGTTATTTAAAGCCAGAAAAGGTTTTTGGTTTGTTAGAAATTTTGGAGATAAAAATGATTTATGGATACAAGTCTTTCTAATTAACACACACCTGGCAGAAGAAGAGACAGATTTATACTTTTCCCAAGAGTATTTTCTCATAAGCAAATATAACAAACAAAACTGGAATAGGAACTCGGCCCTCCAATTTCCAATTCTGGGACATTATCCATTACACCACCTGCACAGTCAAACTTACAGCACCAAGTATTCTCAAGCAGTCACCCATCTAGATACTGCCCAGGCTCAACATTGTTTAACTTTAGTGATCATATGAGAACTGATGTTTCAATGTGCTATGGCTGTAAACCTCAAGTATTTAAGAGAGAAAATATGTATGTGTATATATTAGTATTTAAAGCTTCCATCTTTGATGCCTGGATGTAATAAGACAAAATATGTCAGTCAGAAATATGAAAAAATGTTGACTGTGATCATAAAGGATGGTGATGGTGAAGAAGGAAAATATGAAAATGAAGGAAAATATTAGAAAGAAGAAGGAAGATATGAAAGTGAATGACAATATTTGAAAGAAGAAGGAAAATTGCAAGGAAGAAGAATTGCAAAATAAAGAAAAATTAAAGAAAAGTTAGGAGGAAAATGTGAGAAACAAAAATTATAACAAGGAACAAAATGAAAGAAAAAATTAAAAAAGAAAATAAAAATGAAAGAACATAGAAATAGAAGAGAGAGATCTAAAAAAAAAAATGAAATATAAAAGAAGCAAAAGGAAGTAAAATATGAAGAAAAAAGTAAGTGAATCTAAGTAGAAAAGACAAACAAAAAGAAAGTGAAAGTAAGAATAAAAAATAAACAAAAAAGAAAGTGAAAGTAAGAATAAAAAATAAAAAAGAAAGTGAAAGTAAGAATAAAAAATAAAAAAGAAAGTGAAAGTAAGGATAAAAATAAAAAAGAAAGTGAAAGTAAGAATAAAAAATAAAAAAGAAAGTGAAAGTAAAAATAATAAATAAACAAAAGAGAAAGTGAAAGTAAGAATAAAAATAAATATAAAATGAAAGTTAGAAGAAAGAAAAAAATAAAGTAAGAAGGAGGAAAAATAAACAGAAAAGAATGTCAAAGTAAAAAAGAAGGTAAAAAGTACAAAATAAATACAGGTGAATAAAAGGATGTCAACAAAAAAAGAAAGTGAAGAAGGAAAAGTTATGAGAAATAGAGGAAACCAAAAGTAAGTTTTGATGAGAAAATAAGAAATCAAAAAGAAAAGAAAGAAAAATCAGGAAAACAAAAAAGAAAAAGTGAATGAGAGCAGAGAGAGTAAAAGAAAAAATGATGAAGTGTAAGAAGGTTTTTTTTTCTTCTTCTATATGCTATGTCTCTTCAGGACATTGACAGTCATGGCTCTCCACAATTTCCTGTCCTTTGTAGGTGTTAAGTTTATTTTTTCTTAGCAGCATATTGAAGGTTATTTAACTTTTTTCATTTTTAGGGATTTCTGTGAAATTTAGTTTTAATGCCTTCCAAATGCTAAGCAATGTATTAGGAAACAGAAAAAGTTCATTAGAAACAAAGAAAAGAATACCTAACTGGTAAGTGGCAGTGAATACTAGACAATCTCATCACAAATGAAGAAGAGACTTGAAGCAACAGAAATGTGATTCTACAGAATGCTGAGAATACTATGGGCTGAACATATGAGCAATAACAAAGTTTTAGAGAAAATTAAATAAAAAATGACACCTATACTTAATATAAGAAAGATAGTTGAAATTTTTGGGATGCATAATGAGGAAAGAGGACTAGGAAAATTTGATACTCACAGGGCATATTGAAGGCAAGATGGTGGGAGACAAACAAAGCATAACCTACCTAGCAAACTTGTGTAAATGGACAGTGGAGCAAGGTTTAGAATAGATAGCAAAAAGACAAAATTTATTAAGAGCTACAAAGGACAGAAAATTGTGGAGAGCCATGATCACTAATATCATGAAGGAACATAGAATTGTTTCTTTTTTAATTTGGTGTATTGATTGATATGAGAACAGATGTTTTGTAGATAAGTTAAAGATTTTAAATTGTGTGTAAATTTTCTCGTATGATTTTATTTCTTTACTGTATTGCTTGATGTTGCTGAATTGGTCTTTTAAGTTATTTGTTTGGCAATGATTTAATCAATCAGATCAAACTAATACTATCAGGGCTTACTAATATATTTTTCTGGTGTAAGGTGAAGCATACAAAGAGCCTTTCAGATAAAGGAGGAATTAAGACAAAATTGGGGATAGGAAAAGAAAGTGTTATGAGAAAGGGCAGGAAAAGGAAGTGGTGTTAAAAATAGAAAGAAAAGAAAACAAGGAGAAAAAGAGAATGATTGAAGGCATTAAGAAAAAAAGAACGTCTTCAAAAAAAATGTGATGAAGAAAGAGAAAGGAAGAAACTGAAATTGAGGACATGAAAAGAAAGAAAGGTTAAAAGAGGAAAAAAGAGAAGTCTGTAAATAAAGGAAAAGAAAGATTATTAATAAATATAAAAAAAAGAAAAGGGTATAACAGAATGAGGATAACTAGGAGAGACAATTGCCAGAAGGAAGCCCTAAATCCAAGACATCTTTTGAGGCATGATGCCTTTCACTATTCCTGCTTTCTTTTCCTTGAATTATTTTTTTTGTTCCTTCCTTTTTGTTTGTCTGCTGGTGGATCACTCTGAAACTCCGATTAATGATATTTGATGATTTTTATTCTGTAGATTTCACTGGAATTAAGGAACAGAAAAAAAAACAAGAAAAAAACAATTATTCCTATACAGAGATTGTTTTTTTATGTGTATATATGTTGCCATGGGCTACCAGAGGATGTGGGACAATGAATGACAATCACTCCCAAGATCTTTTCCTCAATAGTCAACCTGGCCAGTAATCAACTGAGGGACACTTTTAAAAAACAGGAAGAGATGAACTTGCTGATATTAGAAATATTTATTGAATACACATTTGATAATGAGTATGGAAGAAATTGGGGCATAAGGCTAAAAGAGATTTTGAATAGAATCATGTTGAGCATGTGGTTACGTCTGTCTAATTGAGGCAGGTTTCAAAAATAATCAAAGATGCTACACATTGAATATTAACCAAAATATTGTAACAGCTATTGCAAGAGGCACCCATTGTTGTCACATCTATATGAAAGGTGGCATTATTTGAAACTGACTCACAATTAACATCATATGCTCTTCTAGATAGGCATGTTTTTTGCTGCAGTAGAACCGGGATTAATCTCACACAAAACAAGGTGTATCCTGCCTGACAAAGGATTTGTCATAACAATTTGAGACATGGATTCACAAATCCAGATGCTCTTCCTGATATCTAACTCAGACACTCACAGACGTCCAAGTTCACCAAGTGTTTTTATCACAATATCATCTCTAGGAAGTTTGTCATCCTAGCCTTATTTACGTATATATATATATATATATATATATATATATATATATATATATATATATATGGATAACAACATATAAATTTTATATGAAGAAATCAAAAAGAAAATTGTTGAATCCATAAACACAACAATAAAAACAATATTTCTACATGTGAAAGTACTTGACATAATTTTCAGTTGGCAATATGAATACAATAGTATTTTCTAAATTCTTCTAGTTGCTAAGGACATTTTGTTTGTTGTTAATAGTTACTTTGTTTTCAATAAATTCATTTTGTTCTTGTCTTGAGAAAGTCTACATTGGACGAATTATGTTGGCTAATAATACAGTTTTCCTATTGTCTTTTACCTTTATATATTGTCTTTTTCTACAGGTTAACTCTGAGAAATTTTTCATATACATTTTTATATATCAAGAACAGTTTTGAAAGAAAAGATGTATAACAAACTGGAAAAAGTTTTTGTGATGCATTTCATCCAATGATGTCCTAACAGATAAAATGCATAACAAAAATCTTTTTGAATTTATCATACATCTTTTCGTTACTTACATATATATATATATATGTGTGTGTGTGTGTGTGTGTGCATTGACCATTGGCTCCTATAAAAAGCTCATCAGCCTTTTAACAGGTCTTGTTTTTCATCCTCTGGGGTGACTTGCCCCCATCCTCACTAGTAGAAAAGTTAGTGGGAAACTGGTTTAGAAGTCAACCACATGTTCATGTAGCAAGTTGTACTGGGTTACATGTTACCAGTAGCAGGTCCAACCCTGACTTGACCAGATTCAATATAAGAAAATGTAAGTATATACATATTCAACATGTTTTGATGTGAAAAAGTTTTTGATGAACTCTTGCTACACAACAATAAAACTAAGAAATATTCAGAGCTGAGAAAAGCTTCAAATAAAAGCAATTAAAAAATTTCTCTTAACTTAAAAATCATTGGTTTCTCTAAATGTTTGCACAAACACTTATAGAATGTGATTCACACCAGGAAATACCAGAGATTTTAATCAAATTTAATGTTCATCAGGAACTACTGATCTAAGAGGAGTTGATCTGTGGTGACCTTAATATGTACCTGGATCACCCTGAGGGATACAAAAGTAAGATTTGCATTTAGTGTCACCATAGGATGTCAAAAGAACTAGGCACCTCAAAGGTTGACCAAGAAGGTACCTTCACAACAGCTAAGTGCAGAAGTGAGCCTCAAAAGATGTTAGTTGGTCAACCAACATAAATAGGAAGTAAAACTAAAATATACACACTGGATGACAGGAAGTTATATAAATACCTGACTCAGCAAAAGGAGGGCAGAATCCCTTACATCATTGTAAAAGAAGATTAAATGTCTGAAGAAAGTCCTTGAAATCACACACCCTCCACAATCAACATCTGATGGAAACCATAAGTGAATAAACAATTATTTCACATATGAAAAATTTAGTCTCACATTGTTACTAGATATTACTAAAATAATAGTACACACTTAGACAAATATCAGATATATAGTTATACATATAAGAGTTGCTGGAAAGTTCTTGACTTGCCAAAATAGGATGACAAAATAAGTTCTAGTTCTTGAGCTTTCAGGTTAGGGAAGAATGTTAGGGTAAGAACTTTTCAGGACTTTTTAAAATTTCCTCATAGCTTAGCAAAGATTTTGAAGGGGCTTTCAACAAGCCCTTACACAATGGTTGAAGGAGACATATGACTATTTCTCATCTCTGCATTAGTAGTTTTAAGGTAGAGTGCACTGTTTATATTCCAACCTCCACCATTCAAACAAAGAATCTATGTATTGTAGCCCATATATATATATATATATATATATATATATATATATATGTGTGTGTGTGTGTGTGTGTGTGTGTGTGTGCGTGTAGAGGTTTGTCCCTTGT